GGTCCACGCTTATACTCCAGTAACCAGGAGGCTGAGACAAGAAGGTTGACGGTTTATAACCAGCCTCGGCTGCACAGTGGCAGCCAACTTGGGATACACAGCCAGTCTCAGAAAAAATAAGTGTTTACATATACATATGTACATGTGTGTGTTATGTGCAGAATATTGCAGTAATTGTGATAGTAGTTTTCATATTTTGAGAGTCCAGGTGTAAGCTGGGCATCTCACACACCCTTCCCATTTTCTTAACATCTGTAACACAGCTGTGGAGAAATCAAGAGGAAGGAAGGGCAGAGGCTGGTAGGCTTCAGGGTTGACTCAGCATCACCAGAAAGAGCAAAACTCAGGGTCTGCCTCACTGTAAAACAAAATTCACTTCTCAAGAATAAAAAGCTGGGTGATGGTGGTGAACAGCTTTAATCCCAGTACTCAGGAGGCAAAGGCAGGCGGATTTCTGTGAGTTCAAGGCCAGCCTGGTCTAAAACAGCCAGAGCTACACAGAGAAACTCTGCCTCAAAAACAACAACAACAACAAAGAATAAAAAGCAAATTGTTTTCTTCTGTCCATCTTAAAATGACGCTGATGGGTTCCACCTGAGCAAGGAACAGCTTTGCGAATGCCAGGATGATAAGGCAGCTGTCCACAAAAAGACATTTTCCCCAAGATAAAGTCACTGATTGTCACACAGGAGTGCCCACGATACAGGGTCAGGGGTCGTTTTAAAAAACAAAGACTTTGTTTTGTAGTGTCTGTGTGTGTTTGGTGCACACGTGCCAGCATGAATTTGCAGGTCGGAGGACAGGCTTTGGGAGTCAGGTCTCTCCCTTGCATCAGGTGCGTTCCAGGGATCAGACTCGGTGGTCAGGCTCAGTGGCAGCATGCACCCTTATGGACTAAGCCATCTCTCAGGCCCCATGCTGGTCTGTTGCTCTTTGTTTCCTGGTGCTGGGGCATGCTACACAAATACTACCATTGAGCTACATCCTCTGCCCTGGGCCCGTGGTTTGTTAGCCAATTGTATCATAAAGAAGTATAATTGAATGAGTGCTCTGTTTTGTTCAGCCCTCCTCCCCAAGTACCCAGTTGGCTCCTCCCAGAGACATTTGGATACAGCGTTTATCTACCCTTTTTATTTTATTTTTTTTTCAACCACAGTCTTGCTATGTAGCCTGGGCACCCAATCATGAAAATCATCCCAAGCCACACCAACATGTACCAAATAGCAGATAAGAAACCGGCATGTTGAGAGGCAGAAATGATCTGGAAGATCTACAAAGAGCCAGAAGTAGGGCAGAGGTGCTCTGGGTGGGGAGACACAGCACTCTCAGCACAGGAGAATAAGAGAAAAGTCAGGCCACCCTGGAAACTGTTCATCTGAAGCCAACTGTCTATGTATAGAAAACCAGCCTGGTTTCAACTGGACTTGATCACTTTGGAAAACCGGGTAAGAGAAAGGGAAATCATGTCTGCTTCATGGTCAGGTCCTGGGCCTAGATCCCCTGTCAGTGGTGCTGGACCCCCCCTACCCTCATGGAGGAAAAGAGCATCAGGGAATGGGCGGAGGAGACTGAGCGTCTTGGGGTCAGGAATCCACAAAGGAGTGTTACCATCAGTGTCAGAGTGGATGACGTCCACGAACTGTGCATCGCTGGGATCTAATCTGTCCTCGGCAGGTTTCCCGTTGAACAAAGGGCCCGCAGGGTCAAGACCTAAAAGACAAGGCAGAACAGCTTGGCAGCCCCACTCCATGAATCACTGAAGCTGTCTTTGATCCCTCCTGGAGAGGATGGCTCACAGGCTGGCTGCAGGGCGTGCTTGGGTGAGTAACTGCTAGCATCCCGTCCTGCAGCCAGGACAACCGTCAACCCACAGTGTGGACGGTTACCCTGGCAATGGCCCTGAGAACAGCAGGCAGGCTGCATGAGGAGCCCCAGCTGGGAAAGACCCCCACAGGTGAGGTCATGGAGGGTAGAAAGGCTCCTCTGGGGAAAAAAACCGTCAGAGAGCATGAAAGAGGAAAAGGTAGCTCTGGGAATTAAACCCTTATGCATGAAGCTACACCCATCTACATCCACAGCCCTTGATTTTAAGACAAAGTCCCATCATATAGCCCAGACCGTCTTGGATTAGCTATGTAGCCCAGGCTGGCCTCTAATTGGATATTCATCTGCCCCAGTTTCATGTGGGCTACGAAATTAAAGGCATTGATTAAATTAATGACCTCTCTGGTCCTCCCCATTTTAGGGATTTCAGAAACCCTGCTCAGGTCCACTTTCATTCATTTACTCACTCATTTGAAAGACATCACAAAACCAGGAGGCAGCAGGCGGCCGGCATGATTCTGTTCTACAGGTAACGGCTCCTGAGACCCAGAGAACTCGAGCATCGTGGCCAGAGACTGGCTCCAAAGTACAGCCCCCTCCATCTGCCTTGCCCACGGTCTCTCAGCACCTAGCTGGGCCAACTCAGCAGGAAGCCACGAAACTCCCTAGAGAGCTAGGTTTGGAAGAACATGCCACACTACAGGTGAGGCAGATCAAATGCACCCCGTAATGCCTGAACTGACGTCTTGGTCTTGGTCAGTGCTGACTGGGTTTCATTACCACAGCAATGAAACACCTGGAGAATCTGGGGAGCCACCCTTGGGGTTCTGGAACCACAAAATGAGGACTTCTACAAAGCGGAGTGTGAGAAAAGCCTCAGTGACTAGAACCCTGTGCAAAGAGGGTTTCCAGGGTGTCTTCCTTGGAGGTTTAACCTCTTACTATCATTTTATGTTTAGGTTCACTTCACTCTTCTTTTAGGTGCTGGAGAACGAAGCCAGGACCTCACGCATGCTAAGCATGGAGGACATCTCCCCTTGCCGTGTTCCATACACAGTCTAAGAGACAGACAGCATCTTTGCTTCAGTTTCCTGTTTTCTTCCCTCCCAATGTCCTTGTGGTCCCTTGAAACATTTCTTCTCTCCCTCCCTCCTTTCCTCACTGCTCCACCCCCAGTCTTCTTCTGTCCTCTCCAACTGAAACTGGTGTGGGAGGGCATGAGGAAACACCCAGTCACTCAAGGACGACAGGTGCCCTAAACACAACAGCTCTTAACACGGTAGGAAAAGACTCCACAGCCTTGGAAAGAATTTACCCAGAATCCTCCCCCCCCCCCCACCGCCCCCATCAGTCAATACCAACCACTTCCTTCGCAAAAAATAGAGTGAGTACCTTGGCTTGCAGCCTTCCATAGATCTAGATAAAACATTTAGATCGGGATATTGAGAGGGCTGGGGGTGCTAGGCACACACCAGGACTTATAAAATGAAGGTAAAATTATGGTCCAGAACGTGAACCCATATTTGTAATTGAAAGTTTCTAGCAGTCACCTAAAATGTGTGTGTTGCATGCATGTGTATATGTATATTAGTGTGTGTGTCTGTGTGTCTATGTCTGTGTGTCTGTCTGTGTCTGTGTGCACATGGAGTCCAGAGGCTGACATTGCTTGTCTTCCTTTATCCCCCTCCACTTTATATATTAATGTAAGGCTTCTCACTTGAATCCAGTCTAGTCCAGCTTGCCAGCTTGCTCCAAGGATCCTTTCTCTGCCATCCCAATGCTGGGATTATAGACAAGCCACACATATACACACACACATACACGCACATACATACACACACACACACACACACACACACACACACACACACACACACACCTGGCATTTATGTTGGTGCTGAGGATCTAAACTCTGGCCCACATACTTGCTCGGCAAGTGCTTTTATCTGCTGAGCCATCTCCCAGCCTAAAATGCTTTTAAAACAAAGGAGGACTTGATTTTAAGACTATGAAGGGAGCCGGAGAGAAGGCTCAGCAGTTAAGAGCACTGGCTGCTCTTCCAGAGGTCCCGAGTTCAATTCCCAGCAACCATGTGGTGGCTCACAACCATCTACGATAGGATCTGATGTCTTCTTCTGGCCTGTAGGTATACATGCAGCACACTCACACATAAAAATAAAAAATAAAAAAGAGTATGAGGACTATAAAGAGCTCAGCAGAATGCTCTTCTAAACCTGGCCCAGGTTCAGTTCACAACCAGGGGATCTGATGCCCTCTTCTGGTACCTGCACATACACGGCACTGGCATACACACACACACACACACACACACACACACAAACACACACACACACACACAAACACACACACACACACACACACACACACACACAATTTAAAACAAAAGAACACAAGGCTGGGGACATAGCTCAGACCATAGAGTGCTTACTTTACATGCAGTGATGCCCTGGGTTCAATTCCCAACACACAAAATATTAAATTAAAAAATTTAAATTTTAGTTTGGTGTGGTGGTGCACACCTTTAAACCCCAAACTTGTGAGGCAGAGGCAAGTGGATCTTTGTGAGTTTGCTGCCAGCCTGGCCTACAAAGCGAATTCCAGGACAGCCAGGGCTACACAGAGAAACACTTGAAAAATACTTGAAAAGCAAAACAAACAAAACAAAACAAAACAAAATTAAATTTTAAACCAGACATGGGAGAACTTAAGAGGCTAAGACAGGAATATCTCAGATTCAAGGCTAGCTTGGGGGTACACGTGAGTACAAAACAAGCCTGGGCTACAGAGGCACATCCTCTCTCAAGAAGACAAAAAAGTGTGTTCTGGATGGTTCAGTGGGTAAAGGCACATGCCAGCCTGCCAGCCTGAGTTCAAACCCAGGACTTATGCAATGTAGATCTGACTCTGTAAACTGTCCTCTGACTTTTACATACATGCTCTGCCCACCCACATGCACTCACACACACATATACACAAACATAATATAAAGAAAATAAAAAACAAAAATATTCTATGTGTTTACAATTAAAACCAGTTAATATTTTAGTTAAATATTAAATGTAATAATAAATTAAATATTTGATTATTTTAGCTATAAGATAGAAAATATTATTTAAAAATTAAAAATAATAGACAAAACAAAGACCAGCCAGGTTTAGTAGATCACACTTGTAACCCCAGCACTTAGGAGACTGAGGCAGGAGGATTGCCATGAACTTAAGGCTAGCCTGAGCAGAGTGAGTTTCTAGGCCAGCCTAGGCTGCAGAGAGAAATCCTGTCTCAACCAAACAAAATAAAATGAAAATAGTGCATCTTGCTTAACCCAGTTTGTCTAAAAATTGTCATGTCAATGTAATCAATATTAAGAGTGAATTTTTTTCCTTCTAAACCTTAGTCTTCAAAAATCGGTGCATAATCTGCACTAACAGCCCATCTCAGTTTGCACTGGCTGCATTTCAAGTGTCCAGTGGCTACACTTAGCTAATGCCTACTATATTGTTTCTCGAAGGGTGCTGGCCAGACCACCTGTATCTGCTGGTTGAAAGTACAGACTCCTGATCTTGGGAAGCAACTCATAGCAGAGCCTGGGCCTGGCATACATAAGATTCAGGATTCATCCCAGTACCAAATGTATGAATGAATGTACGAATGAGTGAATGAATGAATGAACGAATGAATGAGAAGTCAAACCAAAAATATGCCTCGAGAATGGAGCACAAGGGAGGAAAATGGCAAAGGGAACAGGGTGAAGGGCCAGGCAGGGTCAGGCCCGACCTAGCCTTATCTCAAGAAATAATAGTGACTTGTGTCCTTGGGTGACAGATCACATTCCCACCCTGTGATCCAGTGAGCACACCCAGTCAAGGAAGGATACTGGGACAGAGATTTCCCCTGAGACAGGACGGGTCTACACGTGAGGCTCAGAGGTGATGAGAACTGGGGACATCATGGAGGTTGCAAATTGACTTGTGGACCAGAAGTTGAGTCCAGGTCACAGGGCAGGTCACACGGGCCTAGAGTAGCAGAAAGCCTGGTGTGGGGAATTTCCATAATTGGAGGCTGGGTCCCCTGCAGGTCACAGTAGTCGGGAGGACAGAGTGTCAAGAGGACAGAGAGAACACGGCACGTGGGCAGAACAGAACTTGGCCGAAGGGTGGACTTGGCCCAGTTCTTCCCAGCTCTGTGGTCAGTGATATCAAGTTGCAGCTTGGGATTAGTCACTACTAAGGAAATCACAGAAACCAGCAATTGCTATAAGTCAACACCCTCCACCCAACCCCACTTCAACCCAGCGTTGCAAACAAACAGTCCCATCTACCAGAAAAGGGACCCTAGAGGGCAGCCAGCCCAAGCCAGTTGCCCTTTCAAAGTATGAGGATTCTCTCTCTTTCTGTCTCTTTGTCTCTCTCTCTCTCTCTCTGTGTATGTGTGTCTCAGTCTCTGTCTCTCTCTTTCTCTCTTGTAAAGACGCATTGATTTTTAAAAATATAGTGATAATACTTTCTGAACTTTTAAAACTACTTTGATTCCCTAGGAAAGTGTAAATTAGATAACTGAGGCAGCCTTGGCCTTTGGGAAAAGTGAAGGAAAAAAAAAAAACATCTAGGACAAACTTTGGGAAGCAAAGCCAGCCAATGGGGTGAGGGAGTGGGTACTGGGGTGGTGAGGTTACTTTAAGAATTTCTAGCTGCTCCCCCAGCTGCATGACCTTGCGTGCTCTGCCCAGCAGCCAGGCAAGGTGCTCAGTCAACCTAGGGCCTTATGTCCTATGTGGTCATGTAATCTATACTCATGCGTGGTCATGTAATCTATATTCATGCGTGGTGTAGCTAATAAGCACATATGTGCATGTGCAGGGGTTGGGAGTGGGGTGGGGAACCTATAAAAGCGGGTTCCACTCATTCCTTCCCTCTTTTCCTGCACGGTCATTCCATAGGCCTATGCACACCCCTCTCTATTGCCCTAATAAACTCTTATAGTGGGTTTTGTTGTACCTTGTGGCTTTTCTCACATGGTAAACAGTGCTGCTTAATAAATAACAGTTACTGCCCCCCAAATACATGTTTTGAGTCATTTATATTTCCTCTCCTTCCACAGACTTCTATCCTACAGGCCCCCTACATTTAAAACCCTGGCATGAGGATGATTCCTGGGAAAGGTGAATGCTAAATTCCTGCAAGCTGGGGCAACCCTCGGCCCTGTGAGTAGCTGTGGAAAATTCCTAAGCTCCAGGCAAGAGGTCCAGAAAGGGAAGCTTTTCCCGTAGGGTTTGACTTGCTGCAGTTTGGGGTGTTTTCATTCCGAGTCGCCAGAAAGCTGATATTTAGACAGTCAGGCCCAGCCGCCAAAATTCCCAACTCCTTTCCCTTCTGTGAGCCTGCAGCCATGCCTGGTGAGTTCTAGTTATGTAGTTCAGGCCACCTGTATTAACCCAAGGAAGAAGGCTCTCTGGGCACAGATCAAATCCCCGACAGACATTGCTGGGGGGTGGAGGGAGTTACTGCAAGAGAAATAAAGTCAGCACCAAGCTTTTCTGTGACATACACAATTTGCAAAATGCACTACATATATTTTATTAAGTCATAGGTTGAGGTTAATATTATCTGGCCTTTACTTTCACTTGAAAGGACCCATACTCAGAGGTTCACTAACTGGGAGAACTTGTTTCAAACTCAAGTGCCCAGGTGAGACCCTGGTCACCGATAGGAACCTTACCTGTGATTCTCCCCAGCTTCCCAGCGTACATTTCTCCAACAAATCCAGATATGTGTGCTCCTAGACTCACTCCAATCATATAAATGTTGTCCAGAGAAGCTCCTTTGGCCTAGAATTTCATTAAAAAATTGTGTGAGTTCAAGAAATTGCTGACTTGCAGAGCTTTCCTAGCTGTTCACTTGGGAAAAAATTCTTAAGTACTTTGTATCTGTTGTCTTACTCTGACTCTTTTGTGGGTGGGTGGGTATGCATACACATTTATGCACTTACATATGGTCAAAACGTCACATGTCGGGCTAGAGAGATGGTTCAGTGGTTAAGAAACATTTGTTGCTCTTGCAGAGGAGTCGGGTTCAATTCTCAGCACCCAAACAGGAGCTCACAATTGTATTTAACTCAGTTCCAGGGGATCTGATGCCTCCTTCTGACTTCTGAAGGCACCAGACATACACATGGTATACATATATACATGCAGGCAAAGCACTCATGTATGTATTTTAAAAGAATAAATAAATCTTCCCTCTTAAGTGAGATATCTCCTTCAATTGCTCCCCACCTTATATTTTGAGACCGGATCTCTCACTGAACCTGGAGTTAGCTGACTTGCTTAGACCAGCCAGCAAGCCCAGGGAGTCTTCTCTCTCCCTTTCCCGGGTCTGGGATTACAGATATGCACTGCACACTGCTGTACCCAGATTTTTCATGTAGGTTCTGGGGGTTGACCTCAGGCCTTCATATTTGCACGTCAAGTATTTATCAACTGTGCCAACTCCTTAGCCCCTATTGTCTCATTTAATTCCACAAGAGGGCTTGAGAAGTAGCTCAGTGGTGGAGAGCTTGCCTCATAAGTTATAAGCGTTCAGTCCCTAGCCTGGCAGAAAAAGAGGAACTTTTACGGCATCCTGAAATGCTGATCTACTACTTTAATATACAGAGGAGGAAACTGAAGCCCAGAGTTGAAGTCATCTGGCCTAAGTAAAGCAGTTGGGTAGCGTGCAGAGCAGGATTAAAACCAACCTAACTCCAAACTTGTGTCTCTCGGTGGGTGTCTCCATTCCTGACTCTGCTGGTCATCGAGCAGGGACATCTTTAGGGATTCCAGATCGGGGAGAGGATGATAAAGCATTTTGGTGGAGTCACCATCTCGGGGGAAGGAAAGGTGGGGAAGGGGAGAGCACACCGGATGACAGGCTGGCTGGCTCTGAGCCACCCAAACTACCTGCTTGCTGAGGAGCTCATGTACAACTTATCACCACCAGCCACAGTGGTCAGAGCGTGGGAGTCTCTGAATGCTCTGACTTCACGTAATGTTTTTGTTATTGTTAGAAAGGACAGCTCTGCTGGGTGGTGGTGTACGCCTTTAATCCTTGGGAGGTAGAGGCAGGAGGATATCTGAGTTCGAGGCCAGCCTGGTCTACAACAGAGTGCGTTCCAGGTCAGCCAGGGCTACACAGAGAAACCCTGTCTTTGAGAAAGAAAGAAAGAAAGAAAGAAAGAAAGAAAGAAAGAAAGAAAGAAAGAAAGGAAGGAAGGAAGGAAGGAAGGAAGGAAGGAAGGAAGGAAGGAAGGAAGGAAGGAAGGAAGGAAGGAAGAAGTAAAAAAGAGGGGGTGGGGGATGGGGGCAGTTCATGAGATTACTCACTAATAAAAGCTAAGGCCCTGCCTTGAGAGGCCTTCTAACAACATTGACTGTGTCATTGGACCATGTGTTTTCGTTGTGGTTTGGAGTAATCTGGACATTAGTGTCTGGTCGAAGGAGGTCCAGGCATTTAAACCAAGAACTCTGGGCAGAGCCTCTCCTACCCAAAGACACCTTCACAGTAGCTGCAAGATGATGCTCCCATCACGAGACCTTTTGTTTTTGTCATCATCTACAGAAGATTGTAAGGACATAGAATCTGCAACATTTACAACCACATTGCCCTGTACCCCTTCCTTGTGAGGGAGGTGCCCAATCTGAGTGGCCACACACTCTTCCCTGGGTTTATTCAGACTTGCACAATGTTAAAAAACAAACAAATAGACAAACAAACAAAAAAACAACCACCATCTAACCAGGAGATGCCTTTTGGCTTTAAGCTTCCAAACAAGCAGCCAGGGTCATCTAAGAGGAGTTTGTCTTACCAACATCTCGTCGATAAATTCCTTCAAAATAAGAGCTACTTTTCTGGTCTTGCCTGAGGCGTGGGTGTATATCACGGTCGTCGCTCCTCGATTCCAGTCAACTACCACCACGTTCATCTCTTGTACATTGAGCAAACTCTGTACCAACTCTTCCATCCAGACTGGAGGGGAGCCTGTTGGCCGGAAGCCATGGATGATGAAGGTGGTTGTCTTGGTCACATTTAAGCTCCCCAGAGCTGTGGAATTGATGAGTTGTGCACAGATCTGGTTTCTCTGCGTGTAGAGCATCAGTCTCACATTTAATCCTGTACCAACCACGGCACTGTGGAAGCTCAGTCTGGTGAAGGATGGGCATGCTTCATCCGTGTCTGGAAATAAGAATTAGATGGCGTCATTCAGTGCCTCCTAAGCAGGGCATCAAGCAGAAAAGTGTTGTGATTCACTCCTCGGGGCTCTTACGTTCCTCACAGCACCTTGCAAGGGCCTAGATCTACCTACATGAAGTTGAAAAGTCATGCTTGATCAAGCATTTCTAAGTAACAATTTCTCCAGACATCTTTCTCTAGACTCTTTCAAGGTCAAAACCACAAGTTAGCTCAAGGAAGCCTTCCGCAATCCTCCCAGCCATAAGCATATCCTCGCTCCCTGACTCCCTAAGCACCTGTGTGTAGCTCACTTACAGCACAGTGAAATCCCTTTCAAGGATGTATTCTGGGTGTTGTGTACAGGTGTGTCTGTCCTGGGAGAGCCCGTAGAATGGTAATTTCTAACCTGTGTCCTCAGAAGACAGAACACAGCAGAAGAGTCATCGACTGAGTCTCCATGGTCTCTTGTGCAGCACCCTCAAGGGGACAGTGGTCAGTGTGTGTGCCCTGCCCTGGGCACCTGAAAGTGCAGGCCCTGTCAGCTGGTTCTGAGCCCTTTTCTTAGCTCCTCAAGCTCTCCTGTCAGGCCTTCATGTTGTAGAATATTAGTTGAAGATGTGTTATATTTGTTTATGCTGTGCAACATTTAATGATGCAAAGATGTTTTGTATTCTCTTATGTTGCATTTATTTAACTCTGTGAAGCTGTGTTACTTTGCCTGTCCAAAGCACCCAATTAGTCTAATAAAGAGCTGAATGGCCAATAGCAAGGCAGGAGAAAGGATAGGCAGGGCTGGCAGGCAGAGAGAATAAATAAAAAAAGAAATCTGAGAGAAGAGATCAAGGATCGAGAAAAGAAGAGGTCAGCCACCCAGCCACCCAGCCAGACATGGAATAAGCAGGAAAGAAAAGACACAGAAATAGAGAAAGGCAAAAGCCCAGAGACAAAAGATAGGGGGGATAATTTAAGTTAAAAAAAAAAAAAAAAAACTGGCTAGAAATAAGCCAAACTAAGGCTGGGCATTCATAAGTAAGAATATGTCTCCTCCATGTGTTTATTTGGGAGCTGGGTGATGGGCCCCCAAGGAGAAAAGAACAGACTATGAAAGAGTAAAATAAAAAACCAGCAACACCTCTGCCCTGCAGGACAGCCTTGGAAGGGAGTCGGACTCAAGGAAGACACAGTACAAATCTGGAAGATCTTTTTGTTGTTGAGACAGGATCTCAGTATGAAACCCATGTGAAGCAAGTCTGGCTTCAGACAATTTGCAGGCCTCCTATTTCGCCCTCCTAAATTCTAGGACTGTAGCTGTGTCCTGCCCTGCCCGGCTTGGAGCATCTCGCGGGGAATGGCACTCAGTGGGGAAGTGTTGTAAGACTGCTTTCGGTCGCTAGGAAATAGTCACTAACAGTGTAGTGGAGAAACAGAGCTAGGCCTTGCTTGGTCACCACTGTGTGGTACTGCAGCAGGACAGGTGAACTGTCTATGTCTGTAACAGCAGAGGATGGAGAGGCCACAGCGTCACTGTTCCAGTGCTGGCATTGGAACTGGAACCCAACGGTGACAGGGAAACTGATTAATACAAAAATGAGAAACATGATCTGTCTTCCTGACAAAGGATCACCATAATGAATGGCGTAGGAGGGCTATGGGCCTGTTCTCGATGAAAGGATTCCAGGGACAGGATACACTAGTGCATTACTTCACCCTAGGGTAGGTCTTGTGGTGGAAGGAAAAGCGCAATAAAATAAACCAAGTCAGCTGGAAAATTGGTATCTACACAATCAGGTGAAAGTGTGGCCTCAGCTTTCAAGCCATGGAGACAGACAGTCACACTGTGGTTGCTGTGGTGGTTTGAATAAGAAGGGCTCCCTAAGGCTCATACATTTGAATGCTTAGTCATCGGGGAGTGACTCTTGTAGGAATTCAGCAGAGTTGCTGTCTCGGGTAGACATTAGAGTGAATAGCTGTTTTCTAGAAGTACTTTGACCTTGACAAATCACTGTGGAAAACAGTAAAGAATCTTTGTGGAAAACAGTGATTTCCCATGATTTGTAGAATTGTTTTTCTGAAGGGGCGTTGCAGTCTTTGCGTGACATTGGTCACAAGATGCCTCTGGCACACCTGAGGCTCTTAGATTATTGTACGAACTACATACAATAATGCACTAAAGTCATGTGGGCGTGTGATGCTTTCCTTTAGAGAAACATATAGATTAGATAGGACCTTGGTATGAGGAAATACCTTACCCCAAAACAACCCTGTGTAACAATCAATAAACATACCTTTGCACATCTTGTCAGGGTTCAGTTTATCAGAGGTTCGACCTTCCTGCTGCCACATGGGCCTTAAAATTTCATCTTGGAGAGACTTTTTTTTTCCCCTTCGAGACAGGGTTTCTCTGTGTGGTTTTGGTGCCTGTCCTGGATCTCACTCTGTAGACCAGGCTGACCTCGAACTCACAGAGATCCGCCTGGCTCTGCCTCCCATGTGCTGGGATTAAAGGCGTGTGCCACCACCCCTGGGCTTGGAGAGACTTTTTTCTTCAACCAACCCACTCAACACAAAACACTCTGACAGGTACTATTTGAGAAGAGATTAGGAGGTGTGGCCTTGTTGGAGTGGGTGTGGCCTTGTGGAAGGAAGTGTGTCACTGGGGGTGGGCTTGGAAGTTTCAAAAGCCCAGTCTCTCCCTCTCCCTCTCCCTCTCCTCCTCCCTCTCTCTCCCCTCTCCTCTCCTCTCTCCTCCAACAGATCAGGATGTAGCCATCAACCATTTTTCCAGCACCATGCTACCATGCCTGTCACCATGCTCCCTGCCATGATGATAACGGACAAAGCTCTCAAACTGTAAGCCAGCCCCAGCTAAACACTTGACTTAAAGGAGTTGCTGTGGTCATGGGGTCTCTTCACAGCAATAGAACAGGGACTAAGACATCATAAAAGAGGAAATCCCAATGCCTAGAATATATAACTAAAGCATTCATAGGTAAAGGGACAAATTTACTGACAAATGGTTCAGAAAATATAGATGGATAACTAACTGATGATGAAATGTGTGTGTCAAAATGTCAAGAATAAACCAATCTGGGGCTGCAGTGTGGGCAGCGGCTGAGCACAGCATGTTCAAGGCCCAGGGAGTTCCACAAAGAACCAATAAGTAAATCTGTGCAATGGTTTGCTGCTGTCCTGTTTACTCCCTTATTCTTGTAGCTTTTCTAAAAATGTTCGGTTCTCTCTCTCTCTCTCTCTCTCTCTCTCTCTCTCTATATATATATATATATATATATATATATATATGTATATATATATGTATGTATGTATATGTCTGCATATGTATATATATGTCTGTATATGTATATATGTGTCTGTATATGTATATATATATACATTATATGAGGTAAATGAAGAGTTCTGGGGTCCCTGGGTTTGGAATTTGACAGAATTTGACTTTTGCAGTAATTCGTAATGCTTTGATGAAGAGCTGCTCTGGGTGGAACACACACGCATAGGTAGGGCCCTGCAGCCAACTCCAGCCACCAAGAGACAAAAGGCAAAAGACAAATAGAGGTGAAAACTCTAACCAGTTTCCAGACACTACATAATGACCAGGACTGCGTTATTTTAAGTAGAATTATTGGCAAACCGCCCGGTAAGGCACTGTCCCACGCTCCACTCTGTCGAAAGAGAAGCGCAGGCCCCAGCACCGAGCTGGAGAGCATCTTCTGGGGTGAGTCAGAGAGAAGGTCAGGGATGGAACAGAAGGAGGAGGCTGCGAGCTTGCAAGGGACCCCCAAAAGGCAAGGGGACCTCGGGACGCACCTATGCTGACTTCCCTCTGGAAATTTGAGAACCAATTTGTGCTGGTTAGTTTTTTTGTCAACTTGACACCAGCTAGAGCCATGGGGTTACTTTTGGTCATGGCATTTATCACAGTAATAGTAACCAAAGTAATACACACTGTCCTGGACCCTGCATCTCCACTGGATAGTCAGGCACAGCTCCCGTGGTAGATCAACACTTCTGTGTCAGCCCCTCACTTCCTCTTCCTGGAGAAGGAATGCCCCTGGAGAACACGGACTGCACCTGTCTCCTGGGAGAGCCCATCCCTGGGCGATGACGCACTGTTTAATTTGTCATCTTACAGTACAGGAGGTGTTGTGGGGTGGGGCTGAACCTTTTGTCTTATCTATCCATAAAGCTAAGTTTTGTTGCAGTAACTTGCTCTCCAGGCAGCCTGGGGACATCATGTTCCTTTTCACACGCGGCCTATCTGTCAAAGAGAGGAACGTGGCTGGGCTTAATCCTGAACAAGGTCATACTGGGGGAGACAGATGTCCCTTTACCCAGAAGAGGACTACTTAATTACCAGGACCGTTCACCTTAGGACGAGTGAACCTTAGGCCAATGCGTCAGAAGCCACACATTCATCTGGGTCCTTGAGAGACAGGGGATTGGGGAGCTGAAGGCTAGCCTGGGCTATCACGAGAACTTGTTACAGAGGGTGGGGAGGAGTCTGTAGAAAGCACAAGGGACTTTTCTGTACCTCATCTATCTGAAACAAGAGACATTACACCTGTCCCTTTCTGATTATTTTGGAATTCTGTTACTCTGAACTAACATTTTCTCCTGCCCTGCGGTCTTTTGAATGAAAATGGCCCCCATAGGCTCATATATTTGCATGCTTAGTCCACAGTTGATGGACTGTTTGGAAAGGATTAGGAGGTGTGGCCTTGTTGGATGGGATGAGTCACTGGGGATGAGCTTTGAGGTTTCAAAAGCATATGCCAAGTCCGGTCTCTCTCTCTCTCTCTCTCTCTCTCTCTCTCTCTCTCTCTCTCTCTCTCTCCTTTTCTCGCTCTCTCTCTCTCTCCTCTCTCTCTCTCTCTCTCTCTCTCTCTCTCCTGCTGCTGCCTGTGGATCAGGATGTAAGGCTCTCAGCTACTGCTCCAGCGCCATGCCTGTCTGCTTCTTGCCACCACAATAATAGACTAACCTCTGAA